TACTCTCGGGGCTCGCCGGCGTCGTCAGCGGCTATACATGCTCCTTGGGAGTGATTGTTATGATACGGTTTTCTATATTACGACCGCCGGCGGGGAAGAAACGGTCGGAGGGAACGTTCCATCCTTGGGACGTTTTCTATATTACGACACGCCCCTCGTTTCTTGCACAGAGGCGTCGCGGGTGGGCGCGGTGTGCTCGGCGACGCGGAGTGGCAGTGCTGGGAGCTGGCTTTGAGGAAGGCGACGCGGGGCAGGGGCTTCGTGAGAAAGTCCGCCGGCTGCTCCGTAGTGGGGACTTGGAGCAGCGTGAGTGATTTGTTGGCCACCTGCTCCTGTATATAGTGGTGTTTAACGTCTATGTGTTTGGTGCGCTTTGTGGGGCCGCGGGAGTGTGCCATGTCGATCGCGCCCTTGTTGTCGACCTGGAGGGCGATGACGGGAATGCCAGCCGGGATGGGTTGAGCATCGTGACGAACGTGAGGCTTCCGGTCGATGCGCAGGGGCACAATGGGGCGAGTGGTGCGCAGGGTCATTTGTGTCATGGTCTTCGTCAGCCACGTGATATCCCGTGCGGCGCGTGAGGCGGCGATATACTCGGCCTCTGTCGAACTGAGGGTCACTGTGGCTTGGCGTTGAGAGGTCCACAGTATCGAGGCGCCATTCGCGGTAAGGAGGACACCGGTGACGGAGCGTCGTGTGTCCGCGTCTGCTGCGTAGTCACTATCCGAACTCGCTTCGATGTGCAACGTACCGTCAGGCGTGCGCGGGTAAAGGACCCCGTCGTGGACGCGGCCTTGGAGGTATCGTAGGACGACTTTGACTCCGTCGGCATGTCGGCGAGCGGGTGCGTGTAGATGTCGACCGAGGACGCCCACGAGGAAGGCAATCTGTGGCATGGTGGTGTCGGCTAAGAAGCGCAGAACGCCGACATCAGCGCAGTACGGCCGTGGGTCGGTCTGCGGTTCGTCGGCTTTGATCGCCGTCATGTCCGCGCCGGGTTCGTGCGGGGTATGGCGGGGGTTGCACGATTCCAACTGGTAATGCGCGAGGAGTTCGCGGACGAGCTTGGGGTTACTCATCACGATGCCGGCGTCGGTGAGCTCGAATTTTAGTCCGATATGTTGTATTGTGGGGCTCTCGCGAGTGAGTCTTTTGACGGTGACTTGCCACGTCTTAGTAAACGGGAGACAGAGTGCCGCCAGGTCGGCATGTGATGGTGCGGTGACCATGAAATCATCAGTGTCGGCCAGCATGTGTGCACGCTCGGAGCTGTTCGGGAGTGTGTGTGTGAAAGCGGCGGGCTCGGTGTCGACCAATGTCCATCCCCACGCGTGTAGGCATTTGTCGCGGTGGGTGGCCCATAGGTGGCCAGCGTCCGGGGCGCCTTGCATAGCGCGTTGCATGACACAAATCTTGCCCGGTGCAGCATATGAGCCGTCAAAGCGCGGCGGCTGGTGCATCGTCTGTCGGTAGGCTGGGTCCGACGGAGCGCGGGAGTACGCACCGGGGACGTCCCAGCTTTGCATGGCATATCCTTTGGAGGCGGCAGCGGCAACGATGAGGCGACGAGCGGGGTGGGAGGCCGTGTGGGATGCCGTACCGCGTGAGTTGTACTCCGTTCCAGCGGACATTTGGTCACCGCGTATGGCGCAACGGGCCTTCTTCTTCTCCGGGGAGCCCGTTTCATCCGTCCTGAGTTTGCAGGTCATAATCCAGGGCCGTGGGGTGTCGTTAGGTCGGCATGTGGCATATAGCCATGTTTTGAGGACGGTGTCGTGTCTGTGCAGCTCGGTATCGTGCGCGGCGGCCCATAAGTCGGCGTTAGGGAGGGTGCGTGCCTCGTTCCAATTGCGCGGGGCTCCTGTGTGTGTGGCGCGGTGCGCGTGATCCGGCGGCTGATACGGAGTTGGTTGAAATTCGACGGAGCGTGTGACGAATATGCGGTTCGTGTGGACGTCCTGCACGCGGTATTGGTGCGTGTTGAGAGCGCGAAGGTATCGCACTCGGATGGCTCGTGGTGCGAGTTTGGTCTTCTGCGCCGTGTTGGTCGTGAAACCGTGTTGGCCGAATGGCAGGAGATGGCCGGGGTCGGTCGCGTGGCCGAAGAAGGCCTCAATGGGGGGGCGGAGGAGCCCGCTGCGCTGCCGTTGCGGTATGTAGTTCATCTTTGAGACGGCATCCAGCGCTGCTTCGGCCCAATTCTGGGGCGGTAATTGCGAAGACGCGAGCGACGCACGCATCGCGTTGAAAATGGAACGGATGCATCGCTCGGCGTCAGGGTTTTGCGATGGCGAGTGCGGCGTCGTGGTGGTGACGATGGTGCCGTTCTGCCGGAGATTGTTGACGAACCGCGGTATGAAGAGTTCCCTCGCGCCGTCAGCGTGGTAGCGGCGGAGCGTACGGCCAGTTTGTAGTTCCCATTGAGCGATACGAGCTTGGATGGCGGTGGGGGCGTCACTTTTGCTGCGGAGTGTAACGGCTGTTGTCATACGGGTGGCGCAGTCCACGAGGACCTGAAGCCAGCGGGCTTTACTCTCAACGGCGGGTGTGAGCGGCCCGGCGGTGTCTGTTGAAACAACGTCCATGGGGGCTTTGGCGGTGATGAGGGCGGTACGGAACGGAGCTCTGGTCCGCTTGCCAGTGTGGCACGGGGTACAGTCTGTGGGTGGTGGCTGCATGGCGAGCGCGACCCGACGTAGGCGTAGAATGAGCTCGGGGTAGTGGGCGATCAAGCGGCGCAGGCCTTGCGGAGCGGCGTGGTTGAGGGTCGCGTGGAGGGGGTAGTGGGCGGCGGGGATTGGTGCGATAGTGGCGGTGAGCGCTGATTGCTGCTTGGGCACGCGGCGACGCTGCATTACGAATACGCCGCGGTCGGCCTTCCCGGTTGCATGGATGATGTGCGGTGGTGGTGGCCGTTGCTTCTTCGTGAAGAACACCGAGTCTCCTTGGATAATAACGTCGTGTCGCTTCGCGACAGCGTGTCCGGATAGGAGGATGTCGGATAGCCCGGGGAGCGATGTAGCACCGGTGGTGAGGGGGTAGGGCGAAGTGGGGAGCGTGACGTGGTCGTCACGAGTGCCGCGCACGCGAGCACCGTTGGCGACCGTAACCAGCCGCGACGACGGTTGGGAGTCCACCAGTGCGTTCTCGTCGGTCAGGGGGACGAAAGTATGCGAGGCCGCGCTGTCGAATAGTATGCGACTGTCCGGAGGGGGGGTAAAGGGAGCCGGTGGCGGAGTCGCCGTCGTCAGTAGATGCAGGCGCCGGGGCCCTGTTTATGTTCCCGAGAAGCTGTACAAGGGCTGCTAAATCGATGTCGCGATCGTGGGAGCAGCGATGGTCAGGAGTGGGGCGTCGTGGCAGGTGTACGGTGCCGGGGTGTTTGCACTCATGTGTGTAGTGTGACTTCGCGTAGGGGTGCCACTTGCACTTCTTGACCTCAGAGGTGGCACTGTGAGTGTTGGTCTGCCGACGGTCACTCGAACGGAGGTAGCGATCGTGTGGGGCAGCGCCAATGGCGGCGGCCGCGGTTTGGTGCTGCATTTTGTTGGCGATTTTCCGTAGGAGCTTCATGACCTCACTGAGCTGAACGGTGGAGTCTTCCTCGAACTGATCGAAGAGATTTTCCAGTTCTGGAACGATTTTGATGGTGTGCATGATGCGGGCGAGAAATTCCGATGGTTTGGAATAGTGGTGGGCGGGAGCACTGGCCAGGATCGTCGTATGCATATCTTGGTGCGTCTTGATAAACGCCTGCGGGCCGATATCATGGATGTCGAGGGATAGCCCTTGGGTGTTCAGCGATTCGATGTAGACGTCTTGATTCGGTGCCATGGACTTCAGAAGGGCCCATGTGGTGCATGAGCAGTCCTCTGAGACGAAACCTTCGAGAGAGGCATCGACGGTAGCGGCGAGGATATTGTTGAGGTTGCGATGGTTGCTGTGTGTCAGGGCGTCGGCGTCGATCGGCGGCGCGGTGGTCAAGAGGTCAAAGCAGAGGTAATGCTTGGTCAGGCGACGAATGTGGCGCGTCCATTGGTGGTAATTGCTAAAGTCAGCGGCTAGACTAGGCCGGGTGACAACACGCTTTCATGTTTCAGGTTGACGAGGTGACGGCGTGGACATGGTGGCGACACGCAGGGTGGCGGCTGGAGTGGGGCTGGGAACCGGTGCGGGACTGCCGGCGGGCGAGGGGGTGAAGCGGAGGGCTCGGGGGCCGCGCTTCTGGACGGTGACCGGTGTGTCACCGACGAGTTCGACGACGGGGGCGTCGGGGTTTGTGCGCTGGCTGCGACGGGGACCGGCGGGGGGTGAGTCGGCCAGTGTGGTGGGTGGGGTGAAGGAGCGGACGGTTAAGATTTCTGGCCCATAACCTGTAGAGTCAAACTTCCTTGTCTTTTACTCTCGGGGCTCGCCGCCGTCGTCGGCGGCTATATATGCTCCTTGGGAGTGATTGTTATGATACGGTTTTCTATATTACGACAATAACCACTTATCGACCCCTTTGGTCACGAGCTCATTGCAGAATTCTGCAATTCTGTAAGTGCGCGAAACTGTAATAAATACACTCATCGACAGGAACATAAAAGACACTTCCTATATATTTCGTCTTTGCAGACGAAATGCATTCCCACAGAAGCCGCAAAACAGTGTAGAACTGCCCGTAGAGGCTAGAGGACCGTCACCGCTACAGTTGATAAGTTACCTCTATAAAACCGCGCGAAATAGGCATAAATACGCCATAT